GTGTCCCCCTCAATGTATATGGTGACTAAGGCCCTGTCAGCATGCATAATTAGGCTGCAGTTGTCTGGGTGCGCAAAGGTGAAGTGGATGATCTTGTCATACAAAGTTTGATGGAGTGTCAACTGGACAATATGGAGATATTTGCATCTTGAAAGCCGGACTACAAATGTGGATAGACAGGAAGAAACACACGCAAGCCTAAAGGCCAATTTCCATCAGATGCGTGTTGGTTGCGTCTCTGCTCCGGCACGGCAGCGGAGCCGATAGGATTCCATTCTAGTCAATGTGTGTGTTTCCACTGGCTGCGGCTGTGCTGCGTTCCGGCTCTGTCTCAGCTCCGGCACTCCGGAGCCCTCCGGAACAGATACGCAGGACTTCTATTTTGGCCGGACGCCGGAGCACAACGCAGCAATTGAGCACAGAGCAGATCGTGCGGGGCAGGAAGTCGTGCACAGAAACACGATAAAACATCCGGTTAATTTTCAAAATAAAATACACAGTGTTCACGGCGGATCATATTTCCCTGCACTACACCTTAAAAACTACATAATGGGCAGAGGCAGGCCTGAAGTCAACAGGTCAGAGGTTTTCAGACGTCATTTCACCCCGTGAACACCATGGACGAGGAGATGTCTTCCTGCGGAGCTGCACCGTACCGCACAGCAAACGCAGCCGGTGGGTATTGACGGACGGCGGAGCACGCAGCGGATAACCAGCGCTGCCGTTCCACAACGGACACGCATCCAGTGGAAATCCGGCGTGGTAAGATACGATATTCCTCACTAGCCTATATGAAGTGACTGATAACAAGATCTGTATAATGGATTGTAAAGAAATGCGCCAGGTTTTTATTTTGTAGACGTTTGATCTGGATTTATAGCATGATGGGATGACAGCACAATGATGTGTGTGGTATCAATGGAAAGCTCCGCTTCTGCGCTTTCATGTGATATGCGTGGTATTTCTGTGCGATGCTGCATTCGCGAGTAATCCATCCAAGAGTAATGTGTGTGCAAAGCTGTATGAAAGTTCTGTTATACATCATTTTAGTGTAACTTTATCATTTTCTTTTGCTGTGAAAACATTCGGAAAGCTATGATTCCGGTGTTTCATGTGACACAGGTACAGGTTGGAGAGCAGAGGCAGACTGCTTTGTTGTGCTCTACAGGCAGTGCACAACAGCGAACCTAGCAGTGAAACGATTTTGCTTATTGCTCCTTTAAATAGATTTTGCAAAAATTAAGGCCTTAAATGGCATTAAAAAGCATTAAATTCGATGTCCAGAGGAATTAAAAAATTAAATACACTTGATGGAAAAAAACATTGTTATTCACGATTTATTTTGATTATACAAACATTTAATAATTTTGATCGGAAGTATAATGTGAAGATTGACAGGCGGAACCCTTTGATTGGCTATTGTTTACGGCCGGTGCACGAAGTCACAACACCGGATGCTTGGAATGCAACGTGCTGTGAGCGTGCTCATGCTGTGGCGAAAGAGCGGAGGGAATATTAGAAAATGTCGGAAAAATGGGAAAATGCAAGTTTCAGCAGAAGTGGTTGGATGAGGAACTATTCAGAACCTGGTTAAAGCCCGTTCGGTAAACCCGGAGAGGCATTTTGCAGCGCATGCAAAAAGATCTTCAAACTTTGCACAATGGGTGTCAATGCGGTGAAATCACACATGCCGTCAGATAGTCACAAGTTGGCGATTAAAGACAGGCAGCAGTTAACTGTGCCGAATTTCTTTGCCGTGACCAGCAACGCAAGTTCTGCTGTCGCCACCACAACTGCAGCTGCTGCTGCTACCACCACACCTGCCACTATAGTGACTGCCTCCAGCCTTTTCAGGTTAGAGTTAGTTTTTCACATCATTCTTCAGGTTTCTGGTTTTGTTATTTTTGAAATGTGCAAATGAGACTGTAAACCGTCTTGTGAGCCATGTCTAATTCACTAAAGAGTGACAGTTAATGTAAATTTAGATTTTCTC